TCTGTCTCCCCCGCCTCCAGAGAACTGCTGCTTTTGATTCATCACTAGAAAATACGCTTTTATCCTTAACACATCTATCCTGTTGACGATCCGTTAACTTTCTGACATTTATAATACGGCTCTCTCTCCATGAGCCGATATTCTCCTCTCATCTCCATGGTCTCCTGCTTTCCGAATACTGAGCCCATACTTTTGAACCATCGACAGATCCAAAGGTCTGTTTGCAACACCTCGAGATCATTGTAGGCTCTTCCACTTCCCCTTAAGTGTCTCCGTCCCGATACATTATTTCATTTTCGCGCTCTCTCTGCCTTCCTTTAACCATTGGACGGATAACTCTTCCGGCCTGGCTCTACTCTAGCTTCGCCTGACCAGTCCCCTACTTTCTGACTGTTTCCAGCAATCCGAAGCGCACGTGTTCTAGGCTGTGCTGTCACAACAAACCCTGTTTCTTTAGCCTGAAATCTATGTTTGACATGCTAACGGGCTTTTTATACAGCCTCTGTAGTCCCGCAAATTTTCTTTTCTTGTGACATTCACTACTGTTATATTCACCTTAATTTGACAGTGTAGCTTCAACTTGCTGACTAATCCTGTCGCATCTAAACGCTCCTTTGCTTTCCGACCCCACTCGGACGTCTAATGTCTAAATGATCTATGCTCTGCCGATATACCGCTCTGTGACTCTCTTTAACGAACATTACTGCTTGTTATTTATCTTGGTTATTCCCCACATAATCTGCACACTTTGTCCTCCTCGCTCTTGTTCCCACCGATTGAGCAAATGCATATTTTAGAACCCTCAAACACTCCTGCTTCATCTTCGATCTTTCATGCTTTACTGATCCGTGTTCTGATCGATTCTCGTCGTATTTCGCAACTTATGCTATACGTGTATATGCGATATTTAAATAACAATTACATGTATAGGGGCACAATAGTTCAGGCATCCCCGCAATTGATTGACTGCATTCCAGATGCATTCCTTTCTTCTGTCTGTGTGGCTGTCTCTGTTTGTTTCCTTTTCTTTCCCGAGTTTGTCACAGGTGCGGCGACACGCACCAAAGGAATTTTCCACCATCGCGACAACAATACAAGGCACAGTTCCTTTACCTGGACATGAGCGGAAGATTATCAACCCTTTCACACCTTACTAAGCGGACAAATCATTCGATAGCGTGCACTGCTACCATTCTTCCGAGGCTTGAACCATTGGGTTTGATTTGCCTAACACAAACTTCCACATATCTCTTGCTTAATGGAATTTCGATTTCGAAAGGCAAATTCTCCTGCCAATACAAAGCCTGAGAAATCGGTCATTCTGAGCTCTTCAATCCGCTTTTACCGCTCAAACGGCAGTGGTTTTTTTATATTTCTAATCAACTTCACTACATACCCTGGGGGATCTGCGGGTACTTCTTCAAAACGTTCTATCCTTCAAGACTTCAACATATTTCAATGTATATCCTTCAGTGACTTCACATGGTTCTGCAGTTGATCAACACATCATATCCAGAAAGAATGTTTAATTCCCGACCTACCGATCTGGCACAGGACTGGATCCAGGCACGCAGTGTCACTCGCCTAACGCATCCGGCGGCAGAAAAATGGGACGCGACTTGACTGCGAATAACGGAGCAAACAAACGTTCAACAAGAAACAGCCAGTTACAACATGTCATTCAATGGATCGGCGGCAATGTTTCAGGACGTGGTGGGTTTTCGTCTGGCAAGCGTTCTCCTTAGAAAATGCCACAAATATCCGTTTAACAACATTGCAACGTGGCGAATGTGACTCGCCACCGTATAAAGTCACAGCCCATAACTTCACACTGTCAGATCAATTAACGTCATCCTTTGGCGTGCTCTTCAATTTTATTCCAATGGATCATTCAGGATTCTCAATCTATTATTTTTCTAGGTACGACTGCAATATATGGCAGAGCGATTATGTTCAAACAAATGGGTCCTGATCCCACGACAACCAACTCGTTTCGCATCTTCACCATTGCACAGTTCCAAGTACGGACATATGAACAATTTTCTACTGTCACTACAGTTGCCATAAAATGTCCTTACGGCTGTACATACCTGATCATGTCTCAATTGATGTGCCTCGCATAGTCGAGAATAAAATATTTATTTATTTATTTAATAAATGTCTACCACCTAATACCCTCCTGGTTTTGTCCATCCAATGTGATGAAACTTCGCTCGATAAGTTGGCTGAACTAGCTGACAAGGTGCATGAATGTTTTTCCAAGCATCCCATTTATCAGATCACGCAGCCTACTAACGCTTTTGGAAGTACATCTGTAATGGACAGGCTGCAGAACCAGATTGAACAGCTAACCGCCCAAGTTTCCGTCATCACCAAACGTCTTAACCGCCGTCGAAGTGTAGCCCCTGGCCGTACCGCACGTGCTCTACCCTCCAACCGTGACTAACTGAATCGTTTCTGTTATTTTCGTAAACGATTTGAGGATGCTGCACGGAACTGTAGGCCTTGGTGTTCGCACCCTAAAGCCTTCGCTTACAGGACCAACAGGGAAACTCGCCGGCCAGCCAGTAATGGCGACATCTGCCGCAGGCCAACACCATAGTCGCCTTCTTCAAGTGTTTGACAGCTCAACCGGCTACCGTATTCTCGTCGACAAGTGTGCCGAAGTTTGCGTCATACCCGTAGGTACACGAAAACGCCAACTTTCTCCGGGGCATGTTAGACTCCAGGCGGCCAATGGTACGAAAATTCTGACCTACGGTCAGAAACTGTTAACCCTAGATCTGGGATTCCGACGTCGACTACCTCGGCTTTTCTTAATCGCCGACGTTCAGAAGCCCATTCTTAGCATCGATTTCTTGACGAAGTTTGGCATCATCGTTGATCTCGGAAACAGGAAAATCCGTGATGGCGTCACCTCACTTACTGCCTCCGGCAAAGTCTTCGCTATCGACTAGATTGGAATTCGTTTGGCTCTGCCTTCCGACAATAAGTTTACTGCTCTTCTGCGCCCGTTTCCGTCCATTTATCAACCGATCAGCGACGACTTTCAGCCCAAACACGAAATCCGCCATCACATCGAAACTAAAGGCAATCCTGTCACCGCCAGACCACGACGTCTTGCTCCCGACAAACTCGCCAATGCCAAATCTGAAGTGCAACACCTGTTGAATTTAGGCCTTATTCGTCCATCGAATAGCCCGTGGTCATCCCCACTTCACATGGTTTCAAAAAAATCCACAAAGGATTGGCGACCATGCGGCGACTATCGCGCTCTAAATAACGCCACTGTTCCAGAAAAATACCCAATACCACACGTCTATGACTTTTCCATGAGTCTATACGGGAAACGCCTTTTCTCTAAAATTGATCTAGTCCACGCGTATTACCTGATTCTGCTGGCCTAAGAAGACATCCCTAAGGCCGCAATCACGACGCCATGCGGTCTTTACGATTTTCTCCGTATGCCGTTTGGTCTCCGAAACGCTGCCCAGACTTTTCAGCGATTTATTGACCAAGTCCTTCGTGGTCTTGACTTTGTCTTCGCCTATATCGACGACATTTTGGTAGCCAGCGCAACCAAATAGGGACATCTGTCTCATTTACACCACGTTTTCCAACGTCTAGCTCATTTTGGTGTCACAAGCAACCCTGCTTAGTGCAGTTTTGGCATGCCTAGCATCGATTTTCTTGGACATCACATCGACTCCACAGGTATACGTCTACTTCCGGACAAGGTCACTGCCATCACCGACTACCCTTTGCCTCAGTCCATAAAGCGAACCCGACGTTTCCTCGGTATCATTAACTACGACGGTCGTTTTATCGCTAACTGTTCCGATGTCCTAAAACCGCTTACCGATTTACTGCAGCGTAACCCGAGAAATCTAATTCTGTCACCTGACGCTCTAGCTGCTTTCGAACAAGCCAAAGAAAAGCTAGCAACCGCGACTTTGCTGAGCCATCTGAACGCAGACGCCAACACCAGGTTAGTAATGAAAACCGAAGCGTCGCAAGCAGCCGTCGGAGCCGTTTTACAACAGGTCATAGACAACGAACTCCAGCCTCAGTCCTTCTGTTCACGGAAGCTCCAGCCGGCTCAAACCAGGTACAGCACGTTCGGCCATGAACTTCTTGCTGTTTACCTTGCCATTAAGCACTTCCGCCACATCCTCGAAGGACGCCACTTCATCGTTTTAACTGACCATAATCCACTGGTCTACGCATTTAACTCGCCAGCTGATCACTGTTCTCCTCGGGAGACAAGGCATCTTGATTATAGCTCGCATTTAACCTCTGCCATCCACTACATCGAGGGGTCAGGCAACATTGTCGCTGGCGCGTTATCCCGCACCGACATTCACCAACTGTCGACATCGTCCATCCACTTAGAGGACGTTGCTGCTGCACAGCTCACTGACTCTGATTTCGAATCTGTTCGCAATAACAGAGCACTGAAGTTCGTCCAGTCACCCTTGCTTCACTGTGATTCCAAAATACATTGTGACATTTCCACCGGTAAGCCACGTCCATACGTCCCATTGTCGTACCAGCGGAAAATTTTCGATCATCTTCATGGCGTCTCCCATCCGAGCATCCGTTCTACCGTTAAGCTCACAACGGATCGCTATATTTGGCCAAACATGAATACTGACATCAGACAATGGGCAAAATCCTGTATTCAGTGTCAAAAGAGTAAAGTTCATCGTCATACCATTACCACTCCAGGAACTTTCTCACTTCCAGAAGCGAGTTTTTAACACGTGCACCTGTATATAGTTGGACCATTGCCTCCTTCAAACGGTTCTACGCACTTATTAACTTGTGTTGATCGTTTCACAAGATGGCCGCACGCAGTCCCATTGCGTCATACCTCGGCCGAAACTGTCGCTCACACTTTCCTTGAATCGCGGGCATCTGTCTTTGGTGTACCTGCGACCATTACCACCGATAGAGGACCACAGTTCACGTCCATCTTGTTTCGTTACTTAAACCGCCTCATGGGATGCAACCACTTACGCACTACCGCATATCACCCAGCTTCTAATGGTTTGGTGGAACGTTTCCATAGACAGTTGAAGGCAGCTTTAACAGCCAGCGCTACATCCTGGTACGAAGCCTTACCTATCATACTGCTCAGTATACGCAACACAAGCAAGGAAGACATCGGCTGCTCTCCTGCCGAGCTTACCTTCGGTACAACGCTTCGACTTCCTGGTGAGATGATCGTCGATTCCAGAATCACCGGTGAATCTGATCCCACTTCCTATGTCGCCCGGCTTAAACATCATATGAGTCAGCTCCAGCCAACGCCGACGAGAAGGACATCACGCATACCTCAAGTTCATAAGGATTTACGTTCATGCCCCTTCGTATTCGTTCGCGTTGATGCTGTTCGCAAGCCCCTGCAACCGCCTTATGAAGGGCCATTCAAAGTGATTTCGCGACATGACAAGTATTACGTGGTCGATCGTAACGGAACGCCTGATTCTGTCAGTCTCGATCGTTTGAAAGTTGCCTACCTGGATGATTGTTCCAGCTCCACTCCGGTTTTCTCACACTCATCCTCCTCCGCTACTGATCCTCGTACCGAATGTACTCGTATGCATCCAACGACAACTACGCCTACAGACTCTACCTGTTTACCACAACCCCCTACAACACACACTCGTTCTGGTAGGACTAACAAAACTCCTGTGCGTTTCCGCGACTACACACAATAATACTATCGAGCGTTTTCTCTCTTTCCAACGCTCTAGGGGGGGGGAGTTCTGTAGCGCTTGTAAATTTACTTATCTTTCCTTGTACATCCCTTTCCTATTACAACCCATTCTTGTACATTAACCTTGTACACTTGTTTTGATTGATAAATAACACACTTTTTGAACCACGCGGGCAACTCGACGTGTTCTCTCTGTGTTCTTGTGTCGCGGATTTATGTAATGCATTGTCGTCCACTACGTTCTAACCTCGAGCAATATTCATCAACAGATCTCGTTCCGGCTCAACGGGTTTCACCATCGTCGTTTGTCATCCATCGGAGTTGCTGACGCAGGAGGACTAGGAAGATTTATGTGGTTGAACTTCTAAACCCAGCCGTGTCGGAACCCTTCTTGTGAGTCTGGGGGGGGGGGGGGGGGGGGGGGGGGGGGGGGTTGTCATTTCTGATCATCACTTATTCATCTTTATTTCTCTTTGGGTCCGAGTCCACTACACGCGCCCACGCTACCCACTTTTAAAAAACGAGTCCACGATGCTTTACACTATTTAGGTTACTTGCTCTGGTTGCTTTTCCTTGAGTGACGACAAGACGCAGACAAACATTGTGCTCACCAACCCCACGAAATCGGGATAGACGGATATACCTATGTGTTAACGTGGATAATATGGTGAGTCCACAGATGTGTTTTTCACTTTTGTGTAACTTCATTGAACTAACATTATTCCCACAAACCATCCCACGGACTTGTCAAGCCTTGGCTTTTTTATCCGTATTATACCATTGTTCCATATATTCATTCGGAGCAAAGCGATTGAGTCGGTAGTTAGCAGCTGCTTGCTGATGTGAATTCACGCTGCTATAGGGTGCAATTCTGCTCCTAATGTGAATCATTAATGGCTCGCTTACTGCCACTTCCGTAAGGGAGTGTTACATGTGTGTCGTCCGCTAAAACCGACTGAGCAAAACCCAGACACATACAGATCGATTGACCGATAGCTGATTCGTCCACTCTTTTCCTTTTGCTGATTGGTTCCTTTTCGACTTATTCATCTGGTGTAACCTACAAGCTACCTATTACAGTTTTTGACACGTCCCAGTCGGGTGTGTTCTTATTCACTTCTTGCGCGGACTAAGGGTCCAGGTGCGATCCCAGCAATGCTCGAGCTAATACGTATCAGGGAGGTATTTCCAAACTCGGCGTGACAGCAAGTCCAGGATTCCAGTGCCGCTCTGATGCATCTTAGCCGCCTCATCACGGTAAAGCTGTTAGGCAAGATATCAACTTCGCCTTCAAGTTTGGATGGATACACACGAGGTTAGCGGAAATGAGAAGGTTCAACTTTCCGTAATCAGTCCAGCGTTTGATATAAGTTGGCGTGCTGACGAGTTTTTCGGCGAAGCATATAAAATCGAAACGGAGGACGCAGTGGTCGCTAAGCCCCAAAGGGGCATCATACTCAATGTGCTCAACCATCAGTTCTTCGTTAGTGAGGACGAGATCTAGCAGGGACGGTTGGTTGTTGGATCGGAATCTAGTCGGCTGATACGTGTGGTTGTACAACGGGGCCGTGTGAAGAAGATCAATGAGGCCTGATGCAAATGAGTTAGTAGACGGGACAGAGTGAAATAGACGGGGCAGATTGAAATCACCCGGCATTGAGCACGATCTTGATGAATGCCTGAAAAGAACGGCATCTTCCGCGCTAACATTCCACTGTGACAAATGCCGACTTATTGTTAACGATAAGTCCCTTCTGGCGAATCTGACTTTGGCGAAAAAGACAGATAATGACGCCGCATTGGTGACGCCCGTACTACCGCCGGTGACTCCTCCATGCATCCATACTGTGCGCAATCGAAGCCGCTCCTCCTCCGCTTCATCAGCAGACACACCAATGCATAGTTCACAAGACAACTGAAAAAGGCCGTCTGTCGGCACTTCAACTGCAACTGCGACCTACGCAGCCGTGGCCAGCGCTGGCGCCGCAAAAACCACCCGGCTGGGTCCAGGCCCCTAAAAAGAAAAGTTGTAAGGTGGTAAACAACAACAAATCGAAATCACCGTCTACAGTGTCACAACTAAAGTCTGTGCTAAACAAGGTAACACGACTTGAGAAATTGCTAGCCGAGAAACCGGCCTTACCGAAACCGGTGAAGCCAAGCGATAGCAAGTCACCACGGAGACGGCTATGCAACGTCGTGATTTTCCACGCACCTGAGTCGACTGATCCCAGTCCCCAGGTACGCTATGACCATGATGTGCAATTCTTGCAGTCTCTAACCGACAAACTACTGAATGTTGGCGAACCCGCGTTACGAGTGAAAGAAATCACTCTTCTGGGGAAACAAGTTGATGGCAAGTGTCGGCCTCTGCGCATCGCGTTCGCCGACGAAACTGCCCCAAGGTTAGTACTGTCCCGCCTCGGTCGCCTAAAGGGGATGAAAATCCATGTCCGGCCAGACCTTGATCCCGCAGAACGAGAGCAGCTAAAGTCTGCCGTGATCGAACTGAAACGACGCACGGACGCCGGTGAAACTAACCTGCGTATCGTAAATTTTCGCACAGTTGCCCGGATACCCCGAATCCGGGTAAACAGAGCAATGACGCTTCAAGCTCGCCCAGCGGTTCCTACCGCGGATTGCGTGTAGCGTTCATTAATGTATGCAGCTTAATGAACAAGCACGATGATCTGATCCGCTTCATTGCTTCACGTCGGCCAGATGTGGTTGGTTTGGCTGAGACGTGGTTGACATCTGAAGTGACAAGCGAAGAAATTGCGATCACGGACTATTCGTGCTTCCGCTGTGATCCACAGTCGAATAGCCGCGGTGGCGTCCTACTTTACCTCCGGTCTACCCTGTGCGGGAGACTGGTGAGCACCTACCGAAGCATTGACGGTCTATGTGAGCAGCTGTGGTGTTCGATCCACCTACGACGCGGCGAACTGCTTGTGGGTGTGGCATATCGTAGCCCACTGAGTAACGGATCGGATTGGCTCACACACGTCCAAAACCAAATGAGTCGCCCGCAGTTCCTGCTCACTGGCGACTTTAACCTTCCTCGAATCTTATGGCCTGAAGTTCAGCTTCTCCCTGACCATAATGAAGTGGAGACAAGATTCGCCGAACTGGTACTGAAAACCGGAACGGTGCAGCACATCACGCAACCCACTTGCATAACCCCGCGCTCAATGCCATCATGCCTGGACCTGCTGCTAACCAGCTGCGAACAAACAGTGCATGACATAGAAGTTCTTGAGCCCATGGCGGCCAGTGATCACTCGACAATTATGACCACTATAGACCTGCAGCTTCCATGTGTGCGTCCAGTGGCGCCAACATACAACTATTGGAAAGCTGACTTCGATGGCCTCATTCTAGCTGCCAATCAGCTTGATTGGTCTATGCCACAGGATTCATCCGTTGAAACTTGCTGGGCAAACATTAAAGGGGCAGTGCACTCATTGTGTGCGCAATTTGTACCCCTCAAGACTCGGAAAGTTGGACCAATGAAACCCCATTGGTTTGACAAAGAGTATAACCGACTGTCTCGACAACGGCGTCGACTATGGAATGCGTTCCTCCTGTCTGGCTCTGCCGATGACTATGAGGCATACAAGCGACAACGAAACTTGTGCAACAGCACAAAGACGCGAAAACGCCGTCAGTTTGAGGAGCAGCTTGCTTGCTCAGCTAAAACTGCCCCGAAGCGCATATTTGCGTACGTGAAGCGACGCCTGAAGTCTGCAGGTAATGTGCCGGTGCTAGTGGGTTCGAACGGACAACCACTAAGTTCAAGCACCGAGCGTGCGTCCGCATTAGCGGCGCACTTCGCTTCTGTATTCGCAACTAACCAAACTTGCGCGCCAAGCTCTGCCGTCGCCGCACCGACTGAGCTAACCGACTTGATCTGCGACGTCGCGGAGGTACATGGGCTAGTCAGCTGCCTAGACAGCACGAAGCCAGCTGGACCGGATGGTCTCCATCCGCTGATACTCAAGTCCTTGTCAGCTGTGATCTCACCTGCTGTAACCGACCTGTTCAACCGATCCCTGTCCATAGGCTGCGTGCCTTGTGACTGGAAATGCGCCGTTGTCAAACCGATTCCAAAAGGCGGTGACACACGCAAAGTGGAGAATTACCGCCCTATTTGTTTGACCGCAGTATTGTCGAAAGTTCTGGAGAAGATTGTGAAGAAGAGACTGCTCCAGCTACTGGAGACCAACTCTCTCCTGACGCCTGCACAGCATGGTTTCGTGAGAGGCCGCTCGTGCATCACTAACCTGCTGCTAACATGGCATGAATGGTTGCAAGCAGTAAACCAACGTAAGTCAGTCGACGTGGTATACGTCGATTTCAGTAAGGCCTTCGACAGAGTGAATCACGAGATCCTCCTTCAGAAACTGAGGGAGTGCGGAGTCGGAGGCTCGCTGCACCAATGGATCCGTGACTTCTTAGTTGGACGGAAGTGGAGGGTGCAAGTCGACAGCCACCTGACCGACTGGTACCCGTCGACGAGCGGCGTTCCTCAGGGGACGGTGCTTGGCCCCATTCTCTTCCTGATTCACATCAACGACGTGCCCAATCTCCTTCGGTCGCCGTGTGCCTTGTTCGCGGATGACCTGAAGCTATGGAGGGTGATCCATACGTCGGACGACTTTGACATACTTCAGCAGGACCTCGACCGCCTCTCCATGTGGTCCGCCGAAGTAAGTTTGCCTATCAACTCGGCAAAATCGCTACTTCTGTGCCTCGGTAAAGGTGGAGCGGGCCGATCGTACACTCTCGACGGCCAAGTTCTACACCCGACGCATTGCGTCAGAGACCTTGGCGTTATACAACGTTACGACATGAAGTCACTGGACAACACGGACAATACGTATCGCACAGCATTGCGTTCGCTGTGGGCGCTGAAACGTAGCTTCTGCACCTGGTCGAAAGAGATTGCCACTCGTCTCTTCACATCCATTGTACGACCGGTGCTAGAATACGGCTCACCCGCCTACTGTCCGTTGACGAAAGGCGAGATACACAAGCTCGAAAGAGTACAACACATAGCCACACGGCTCATTCCCGGTCTTCAGGGTGTGCCGTATGAAGAAAGATGCAGACAATTGGGTCTGTATACTCTAGCCTACCGCCGCGTGCGAGTGGACCTCATCA